TCTCTCTCTCTTCTCTCCTCTCTCTCTCTCATCATCATCCGATTCTCATAAGCCTAATCGAAACTGGCACTGATCTTTAGCCAATGCCCCGTGGCAATGACTGTGTAGCGAAAATGCGTTCATTCTCGCCCGTGCCTGTCCGTGTACTTCCGTTCTTCTCCCTAATCTCCAGCAAGCGTCAATGGACGGGTAACAGTAACGTTCAAGGACGTCAAAACTTGCCTCCTCTCCGTGACATGGCAGTGTTGCGTCAGGCAAGTCGGCAAAGCGAGCTCAGGTCGGACGGCCGGCGGTTCCCAGACCGGCGCCAGCACGGCCCATGGCACTGGCGCAGTAACAGCTGCCTTCTATTAGCAGGCCCTCTGACTGATCTGGTCTGGTCACCGGTCCGCAGCAGCCTGATGTCACACACAACAACCGTCGGCGGACGACAACCATCAGGAGGCCCTCCAGACCTCACCGCCAGCAAATCCGCTGGCCATTACCAGATCCTCAGAGGTCGCCCATGATCAGTACACTCAGTCAGCAAATCCACTGGCCGTTACCAGACCCGCAGAGGTCGCCCATGATCAGTACACTCAGCTTCCACTGACCATGACCAGACCCTCCGAGATCGCTCATGATCAGTACACTCAGCTTCCACTGACCATCAGCAGACCCTCTGAGGTTGCTCATGATCAGTACAGTCAGGTTTCACTGGCCGTTACTCGACCCATAGATGTCACACCACTCAACATCAGCACACCCTCTGAGGTAGAGGCCTTTGTGTATCGGCTCAAACTGAAGATATTCGTAACGGTGAATGACAATTACCTTTTTGACGCGAGACAACTTCTTATGGGTCGAAACGCGGCCACGTGGATGCGTGTGCAAATGAAATAATGACTAAGAAAATATCCCAAATATTGAAGACAAGACATAGGGCTCGTTTTCCAAAAGATTGCAACGCACTGAGCCGTTAAGGTCTCCCTTAATTTGAATCATTGTGCACAGGAGGGTAACACTGAGGCTGTCGCTTACGACTATGGACCGTTTCGCTGCGCAGTCAGTGGCAAGAGTTCACGAGCAAGTGGGAAGCAGGTATACTCCCGTTAGACGGCATACAACATGTAGCATGTGCAAGATCGTGATCATAAGCGATTGTATAAATTGGGGACATCTAGTCATGGCATCTGAATGTGTGGAGGATGTAGCAACTGATTTGGTAACAGCTGGATCAGCTTTTCGCCAAAGAAAACAGCAGGAAATTATCAGTTGTAACGTTATAGTTGTCTGCATCGCACACATGTAGGAATCGATTCAGTGGCGAAGGTGGTGTCGTGTATGGTGACGACCATGAGCGTAGTTGCACAAAATTAGTTGGGGGAGGAGGGATGAACAGTGACCAATGACTCAACTTGCCCCAAAATATGCCAACAGGTAGGCGTGTCAAACAGCAAGTGTCTGAACTGCTGGCACACTAGGCAACTAAACTTATCACTATCAATATCGTCATATGCCATTATCTTCAAAATCACATCGGCTTCAAATAGAATGTCATTCCTCAACATCAAAACCATTTTGAGCTGTGATTCTTTTTTAAAAATTGCTCAATTTAACGTCGGAGGCGCAAATCAAAGTGGACGAAATCTAAGGAGATATCAGAATTTGGGGGTAGATTAGGTCAACTTTGTTAGATAAGCCCCCCAACTCCAACCGATTGCAGAAAGTGACACCGCTACCCAAGGCCTTTTTTCTAGGGTAGTATTTGATGGTTACTAGTCTTGACTATCATCATGGTGTAGAAATGGGGGGAACAAGTTTGTCATGGCTTTCACTTTTGAGGATGCAAAACATCGATGCTTTGGTTGAGGTATGGTAGAAATGTACCTGTGGGAGACTTCTTCCATGAACATTCTTGATCCAACTTTGTTTTCAATGTACGTGTTAGCATAAAGCCTTCCAGACAAAATTAAACATCATATTACTTCAACCTCCGCAAAGTCTCAGTATATGTCAGCTCAGCAGATCTAGGACTCTAGATTTGCTGTAAGTTTTACCAAGACTGAAATTTGAGTGTTCTGCAGGCTACATTTTAACCCCATGAATGTATGTACTATGATACTTTGAGTTGAAATTGCGCAGCTCATTGTTTGAACCGTTAACCTCAGTCTGTGTCAAATCCAGTTCAGTAGGCACAACGCAAGTCGCCCTCAGACTCGTACGTTTCAGGACTCTGCAAGCTTCGTTCAACACCACGAATTAAGATCACCGATTCGTTTAATGAAGCTCTCAGTATCTGCTGAGAGCTTCACTCAAGATCAGTACACCTCAGTGCGTGTTCTCCTATCAGTGTACTTCATTGCGCATGCCAGTGCTTTGTCCGTTACTGCTGATGTGAATAAGTCCGACGTTTACACTGCTTTAAACTTTCTGTCGGGTACTTTCTAGCTCCAAAACAAATATTGTCGGCCGATTGAGTCCACATGGAGGCGGAGACTCGTATGCTCCCCTGGTGCATGTGGTGGGCATTTAGCAGATGTAACGTGCTGGTAAAAAAATCGCATCGCTTGAGTACCTAACAGCAGAACGTTAGGGCAGCTAAATATCAGCGAGACCGTGATGTGCGCTTTTCACTGAGGGTACCTCTCTCATCCTCAGGCCTTTTATCACCGGGACGCGAGCAGGCGCGACCGACGTCCACGGCTGAAGAGGCGAATGGTGCAGATGCAGGCTCAGCGCCGAGCTGACCGTCTGAAGTGGCACCGGGAATCCCTCGCCCGCTGCGCCAGACGTGCCGGATCCTGCAGAAAACTAGAGAACTGCTGTAGACCTGCTCCTGCTGCGCCAACGTGCCGGATCCTGCAGAAAGCTCGAGAACTGCTGCAGACCTGCAAGTCACTGTATTGCATGGGAGCAGGGAATGAGTGTAAAACCGGGCCTACCGAGAGCGTGTGTCGCATATGTTGCACAGATGACCGCAGATGCAAGGATTAGTTGTCATGTAACACAGTGAAACTATTGAGAATTGCACTACGATGGCATCGAATGGTAAACGCGTTGCTTAGGCGATGACGGGGCTTTTGATTGACTGTTTGTTTGAAATATAAACCGATAAGTAGGCATGCTGTTTTCACTACCACAAAGGGATATGGATGTGAAATGCGTTTGACTTGTAAGATTTTCCTAGTGCGTGCCTGCGCCTTGTTTTTTATCGTTTAACCAAGTCTAAGGAAGTGTTCGTGATTGTTCCGAAAGTACCATTCACATAAAAATTAGCTGGTTTAGATATTACCTGTTTACATTAACTATGTCCCAGCTCAGCAACATTTTTCAGGCGTGTGTGTATCAGCTGGCGCCATGAGTCAGCGACGAGCGGCTGATCAGCTGCTTCAACGGGGTGCCAATGTCAACAGACACTCAGCGGGTTCGGGAGTCGCCGCCACGTGGCATTCAGGAACAGAGGCGGCCCCCAGCAGCAATCTCGGGGAGCACGGGACCCGCAAGTGTTCTGGTACCGCTTACTGGTATGTGGGGGGGGGGGGGAATAAAAACAGCTGTTCAGGACAAATCGCCCGGATGACTTGACACTGAGTCGTCGGGGAGCCGAAGGCGGGATGGACGGTTGGTTGCCCCCCCCCCCCCCTCTTCTCCGCTCTTTACTTCTGAAGAAAAGCCAACCGACATAAGGAGCTACATCGTCAGAAACCAACAAAGTCGAAAAATATTCCTGCTTCACCTCTTCCCCCCTCCCCCCCCCCCCCCGTTCTCCCCAAGCCCACGTTTGAGCGAGTTTTCTACATATTGACTGTTTGTTGCGCTTAATTGGCAAGACCTTTGGCTTGGCTCGTTGATGGGATGCTGCATAAGGCTGTCGTTCATCTCCGGTTATATAGTAAAAACGTGGATGATGTGTATCAGACGTAGTAAATGGTTTCATGTGTTTAATTCGGTATTTGAATGCACTAACTCCTCGTGTCAACTTTTATCAGTTTGCTTATGCAGTTTGTTATGCGTGCTTTTTCAGCAAAATGGCAAAGAATGGCTACGAGATTATTCCTGCTTAAGCATGTATGTTTATCACCCTATGTTCACAAATAGGAATGATATATATTCATAAGGTCAAAGGAATATAAGGTCATCCAAGGCCAGTAGCCTATGTTGCCAGTAGCGGAGAGGCTAGATGAACGAGTGCGACGCATATAACCACCCTCTCACCGTGCTTGTGAAGCTGATGACACCTAATTTATGTACCAACGTACTTGTTCCCAGTTGTTACAAATAAATTGCTAGGCGCCGAAGGGAAATGTGTGTAGTGTGGGAATGATATGCGATCTTTAGTACCTCTGGATGTCCAATACACTATCTCCGACCACAAAACAGCATTGTACTGGTCACATAAACCCGGTTAGCGGTTAATATTTTTCACTCGGATGTTTCATAAATTTGACCTACGTCGACCACAGATGACCTCTAGGTCATCACAAAAGTATATTTTGTGTCTGCAATACGCTTTTCCCACCGCTGCACCTAATGATATGAGCACAGTCAGAAGCACATTGTTAGGAAAGTATCGTTCTTGTAGGCTACTGGTAGACCAATTTTGAGCGGTGAACTCATCTGACCTGACCTATGCGGGGAATAGAAATTGTCGAAATGAACTACCTACAGTCTTTATGCTTATTTGTGTGCTCTTAGCCGTTTTGGCGTGTTAACATAGGTTTTAACTGCATCCATTAGAACAGACGGCCTTACCTTTCGTGGCCACTGGCAACCTCACGTTTGAGCTGAGGTCAACAAGTTGTGGTGCATTCTTCATGATTTGGCGAGACCTTCAATACGCGATCGTTGTTTTTTCTCATACGGCGTCTGGAAGTCGGAGGGGATCCCAGGGGGAAGTTACTTTCCCCCGGCCGGGCGCGGTCGTCTCAGACCCCCGGCCGGGCGCGGTCGTCTCAGACCCCCGGCCGGGCGCGGTCGTCTCAGACCCCGGCCGGGCGCGGTCGTCTCAGACCCCCGGCCGGGCGCGGTCGTTTCAGACCCCCGGCCGGGCGCGCGTTAAGCTTAACAGCGGGTATACGTGCGCTTTGGAAGTAGAACAGGCCTCTTATGTCAATGCATCCGAATGGTTTTCAAAACGTTGCCCCAGTTTTGTGGAAATGCGATGGGGTGTTGGGTCGTAAGGGACGTTTCAGGTGCAGGATTCGAGCTGCACATGAGCCCCAAATTGCGTCTCCTTAGGCACAAGATCAAAACAAATATCGAACCCCATTAGACGAAATTCGTTACGAGGAGCACGTATAAGCATGAGCGTAATCGTCTTTGGGGTGGGTTAGCTTCTGACACCGGCATCTGTTTGGCACACTGGGATATTTTTGTTTTTGATAGCACGAAGTGGGGAAAAAACAGAAATGAACCCAGTCAGGGATGTGATTTCCTGTTCAGTTGAGGCAGGGTACTCCAGCCCCTTGCACCAACTTCAACTCCAGCCCCCCCCCCCCCCTCCCAACTTCGAGAGGAAAGGGGAATGAATCGAGAGAGACACACCGTTTGATTACGCATTTTTGAGGTAGGTTTTTCATTTTTCACCACCCAATGTCTTCCCCCTCCCTCCCCCGTTCAACCCAACAGCACCACCCACTCTCATCCCACTTGCTTTCTCGCTACACTACGCCCCTGATCCCAGTCATGATTTAACGTGGTTACGTTCATGAGTACCAATTGCGCAGTTTTAGGCGTCGAAACCTCAATGTCGTTAACGCATGTAGCTCCACTTCTGCACGTTTCCGCCCATTCTATTCCAATTCCATTCCGCATGGCGCCAGTACGGGCCTCAATCTCTGCAAGAGGTTCAAGGTCAGTCCGAGGACGGAAGATAGGCATGACAGGGCAGGAAGGCGCGATAACCTTGGCACCGTAAACAGACGCAGCCGGGGAGCCGGACGGGGCGCACGCGAAGTGGAAGAGCGCGAGGCTGCTGCTATCGGAACTGTCCAAGGTAAACAGGCCAGCCTCAGGCTGCCTCAGCAGCAGCTAGTTCGATAATGTCAGTTACGTCTCAGCTTCAGTTGACGCCGTTTTTGAACGCAATCATGAGCAAGCCATGCATCGCGCATCATGCTTTAGCGCTCGGTATTTGTTTGGCAATGACCGTACGTTACACCGCTGGCGATCAGCACTGCCGACGCCACAGCACAGCACAGCACAGCACTTGAGAATGCAAGCGTTTGGATTCGGTGGTTATGTTCGTCATTGGCAGAACAAAGGAGGGATACAAAATTGAAGCCGAAGGCGGCATACGATTGGTCGCTTAGCCGGCTCACGAAGGTAACTCACTCATACGATATCAATACCGTAAAATGCTCGCAGGATGGGAGGGCAGTGGTCTGGTTCGAGGGGTGTAGGTCAAGGCTTCAGTTTCTGCCGCCTACTAGACTAAACAAA